GAGAGAGAGAGAGAGAGAGAGAGAGAGTTTCGCGCGAAAACGGATTCTTCCTTTCGTGTTACGTCGATGGGAACGAGTAACCATGGTGAAATTATCACGAGATCGGTTCCACTTTGCTAATTGCTTTTATTGAAGCTCGAATAACATGGTTCGTTACGGTGGCGAATTTTCTCGCCCGTTTCTCGGAGATTGAATTATCCACTTTTCTATGTGTTCAAGTCTCTCGATACTTTCCGATCGAAAAAGATTCGTACTCGATTAAATAAGTAGATATTATTATTACTTATTCGCGGTACAGTTAGGGAAAAAGTTATAAGTAGTTAGAAAAGTGTTGAAAATGAGAAAAGTTTGAGAGAAAAAGTTTGGAAAGACGTCTGCGACGATTCGCAATAGCTTAAACACCGATAGATACGTATTGTTCACTGGAAAGAAGTCTCGCGGAAAGGATGCGGAGTCCGATTGGTTAATTTGGAAGGAAACGCCTACTTTCCACACGTATTTTTGTTTCTATCATAGTATTTGTCACATATACTAATTCAAACAATTTTTATCTAAACCTTGATGCATTAGCGTAGACATAGAAGTCAGAGAATTCTAACGTACATAATATATAAATTTTTTTATTTCTCATAATATGTGTGTAGATTATTATGATTTGTAACGATAATTTAATTTATAAATGTAATTTTGTATTCGAGTAATTAAGATAATAATTGAATAAGTTAGATATACTATAGATATATTAATATTATATCGAAATAATTAATAGTTTCGAAAATATTTTAGTTTTTAATCTTAAATGATTATTCTAACTTCATAAATAAAAAATAATTTTTTTACAATTTTGAACATTCAAATTATATCTTTTCTACTACTATGTATGTACTATGTATGTGTAGAATTGTCTCTACTATGTGTAGAGTATTAGAATTGTCAACAAAGCGTCTGAAGTGGGGATAGGCAGTCTTAACGAAGGACTTTTTTTTCCTCTGTGCCGTCCTGCGAGACTTTTTTCTAACAGTGAACAGTAGCTATATCTACGCTTTGTCTCTCCTCAGATCCAATATTCTTTCGCGGAAAAAACTGAAAGCAGAATCGATGCGAGCTTTGAAATGAAAAGAGCGTATCGTTAAACTCGATTTTCATTTATTCAAGAAGATTCGGTCGAGGTTCAACGAACCTTTCAATTATAATTTTAGATCCAATGTCTGGAGTAATTTCATCATTTTTCGTGACGAGAGAACATCGAATTTTAATTTTATGGCAAATTACTTAAGTTTCTAGAATTATAATATTAATAAAGTCGATTGCTCGAATAAGAATTTTCGTATTTAATGAAACACGATCATTTCGGATAGGAGTGGAAACAAGTTAGAAACGAGCTTGGCTGAGTGAAAGCTTATTTCTGCAACTTCTCTACTTTATTACTTGATACATTTTCCATACGATTGACGAGATTCTTGCTATTACAGAAATATCAAAATATTCCAAGAAAAAATTAATTAGAGAAGAAAGCGACTTTCGAATCTCGAAAGATGTGATATTATGCACATTATTTATACACATTCCATACATTAATCGATATATATATATTATACATCTGTATTAATATATTTATTAATACTGCAATGCAATGATGTAAATTATATTTCGATGTAATAGTACGCTAACATTCCGCATTCTCTTAATCTTCCATCTTTCGCCTAAATGTCATTAAACATCGGTAGCTCATTATCATCGCGAACCTTTCACGCCGCAACTCGATCGTGTTGCGAGACCCGATATTTTACATTTCTCCTATCCCCCATTTCCTTATCCAAATAAATCCGATAAATTAATTTAATTTTCTCATTTCCGATCCCGGTTATTAACCGTTTAATCGAAACAGGAATGAAAGGTAAAAAAATTAAGAAACTATCGGAAAGTTTGATAGATAGCGGAACGATCGAACGTCTCCAGACAGTCTGTTCGCGCCGACACGCGAAACAACTCGATCGCCATTCCGTTTATTTACGCCGTAGGAATTGCGGTAACCGTGGCGATTTTTCAC